GTCAGAGAATTATTCCTGTTTTACAGTAGCAACGTTGTCTTGAGCAATAGGAGGAAAATAAGCAGGATAAACAGGTGGAAGAAGGTATCCACAGAAACAAGACAGTTAGCTTGCAGATAAGAATAAATATATGGGGAAAAGAAATTACAAAATCTCAGTTTCCTCCCATGCCTGACACTGATGTAATGTTCAACATTTCACAAAGGAAAATTAAGGTGTGTATGGAATTTATCACACAGGGGGAAAGTGCAGAAATCCCGTGCAGAAACTGAATTTAAAAGCCGTAAAAAAACCTGCAAAAGCGGGCTGATTTTCACACACATTGGGGTTAATGTGAAATTAACCTGAATGGAAAGTAGACAAAACCCACTCCTTTTTACTTTTGGGATTTTCTGAAAGTAAAAATAAGCAAGTTTTGTCTACTTTCCATGCGGGTTAATGTTGTGTTAATGCTCATTAACTCTGATGTTGTGTGAAAATCAACCTGCTTTTGCAGGTTTTGTCAACTTTCCGTTCAAGTTAACAACACATTAACAATGATATCATGTGAAAACCAACTCCCTTTTGTGGATTTTTAACAATTTAAAACCCTGTGTGATAAACTCCTATGGCAGAGCAACATCAGAGTGAGGTCAAAGGGATGCAGCCAGGCAACAAGAGGGCAAAAGTTATTAATGAGTAAGAACAGACAAAACTAATTTATATACTGAATTTAGGAAAGGCTGAAAAAAATAAGAAATCTCAAATCAATAAATACAATACTCTGGCTGGCATCCTGTTACTGATATGACCAGGGGTAAATTGCAGTATATATGCAGAGTTCCTTTTTTGGATAATGTTCCATGGTCATATCCAGCGGATGGCAGTGTAAATACATTAGGCAGTACATTAAAGTACATAAAAGAGCATGTAAATGCTCATTAGCTCTATGCATTCCCTGTGCATATTATATATTACAATGGCACAATGGGTTATCCACCATACACCCTGAACATATGTTGCACAACATTGGCATTCAGTATAGGGTCTACCAGTATGGTATAGTGGTCTGAGCATTGGACTATGACTCCGGAATCCACGGTTCAAATCCCTGCTCAGCCACAGAAATCCATTGGATGAGCTCAGGCAAGTCAAACTCTCTCCACCTCACAGGAAGGCAAAAGGAAACAAGCCTGTTGGGTTTGTTTCAGGGTCCACATAAGTCAGAAATGACTTGAAGGCACACAACAGCAGCAGCAGCAGCAACAACAGCAACAACAACATAGCTGCATAATGCAACTACACTGGTGGATATTTATGCTATGCTGAAGCAATGTTAGATCTTGTGCTAAGTGTGTGCAGATAGCATAATTAACAGTATATATTATATATTACATTACTCTACAATTAAATGCCTTTACTAGCCCTTTTCAAAACTACAAGTTTCTCTCAGATTTGCTGTATTAACTCTCCACCTATTGGGTCTGTGATGGAGGTGGGACAAAGAAAAACTCTTTCCACAAGGATCATAAAACTTGGGTAGGTTCATAAAGAGAGATATTGTTCTTCAAATAGTCTGGACCTAAGCCATATAAAACTTGGCAGGTCATAACCAGCACTTCGAAGTGTGCCTGAAAACAAACTGGTAGCCAGTGACACTGTTTCAACTGGGGAGTTATACATTCCCTGTAACTAGCTCCAGCAATCTGCAAAAAACATTTTGGACCTGTTGAAGTTTCCAAAAGCAGACCCACAACAGAGATACAATCAAGAGTTGTGTCACCAAACCCAGAACTTACGTCTCTGGGGATGGACATAACTGGCACACTAGTCTTAACTAAGCTAGTACACTCCTGGCAACCACTGAAACATGGGAATCTGGACTCAGGATTGTGTTCAGGTTACAAGCCTGAGATTTCAAGGGTGTAACACTATCCAGCATAAGCTAAATCACTGTTTTCTGATCTGCATTTCAACTGACCAAAAGTACCTATCTTGTCTGGATTAAGCTTCAGTTTGTTTACCCTCATACAGACAATTTTCTGAGGTAATTTCTCCCAAAAGTACTGGGACCCCGAGAGTCAGCCCAGAAAGACACCATGGTTGGTGGTATTAAAAGCTGATGAGAGGTCTAGTAAAACCATCAGAGGCCTACTCTTCATTTCCAGTTTTAGTGTAGGTAATCCACAAAGGCAACCAAAGTTGCCTCTGTCCCGTAGCTAGGTCTGAAATCAGACTGAAATTGATCTAGAATAATCAATTGCATCCTGGAATCCCTTGGACTCTGTTGCCTACCAAATGCTTAGAATCTTGCAGAAGAAATGGATATTAGAAACTGGCCAGTAGTTCTCTGGTATGGGCTGTTTAATAAGTTTTTTTTTCAACTATTACCTCAATGTACCCTCTGTTAGGCAGGATGGAAAGATGTCTTGTCACCATGAGGTATTCACTACTCTCCTCATCTTCTCAGCCAGTCTGTCTCTGTCTGGTTTTAAGCATCAGGAAGGACACAGGTCCTTTAAATATTTGGTGGCTGTCTTCTCTCCAAAGATCCTGTTCACATCCCTCAGGCTGTTTTAGGCTGTTTCAGGATATTTGGTGATCAAATCTACAGTAGGAATTAAAGTGGAATTAGGAGCAGGTGAACCCATGTTTCCAGACTACACTGAGCTATTGGGTTACTGAATGACCATGGACTAGATAGTAATATAATAAAAACAATAAATATGAAGGCATGCGTTTCAACAGCATTGACATTATACTGAAGCAGAATCATGGAAAATGGACAGAGATGGAGAAAGTTTCAGGATGGATTGACAAAGGGTTGTCTTGGCAAAAACAAAACCTATGATAGCAGAAACTGGTTAACTAATGAAATATAGCGTAGGTATGTCACTGAACACTGGGGAGATTAGGATAGATAGATAGATAGAGCATATACATGCAGAACATATGCATACTCAGGTTACTTGAAGAACTTATAGCAGTGTTCATACATGTATACTTGTAGAGTAATGCATGAAACATTGTGGTGACTTGTAAGACAGGGCCACTACATATAACATGAGTTTTCATATCACTTCACCATCATTTTGACCACAATCAACTGGGCCAATTTGGTTTTGAGAATAGGAAAGAAATGATTGTGTGTGAATGAGTTCCACAGTGGGGATGATGGACTTTTTTCAGGAACGCATCAATAAATACTCAGTGACATAAAAGAGATAGCCAGTGGGCATATGGGTTAGAAAGAGACCTGCATCTTAGCACTGTCATTTTCTGATAATGAGATTCAACTATTCCTTATAGAACAAAATTGATACTAGTTTCTAAAACCCTTTATTCTAATCTCCTTTGTAGAAGAGGATTATTTGGGAAGGTGGTAGCTTTCTAAGCATGTAATTTAATACCTGATTGTGTTATGATGACATTGTGATATTATGCTCCTAAATATTAATTTTCATCATGTTATATTATCTCATACTATGATGATTGTGAATCTTAAATATGATTTTATCCATTTCTTAGAAAGCCAAACCCTGAATGACTTCCTTCAGTCATTCATCATTTTTTTTTTGTTACAATCAGTGCCTGTGTAATTGAAATTCCTTATCAGCAACTGCTCCACATACCTTGAGCACTTCCTGATTTAATTTTTCAACTATTCAGCTCTACAGCAATTTCTCCCTGAATATATATTTTTGGCCATTCTTTAATTACAATCCAGCTGTCTAGAATATGGCAACAAACTTCAATATATTATAATGAATACTTATGAAACCCAGTTTGGTGAAACTGCTGTTCACTTCCATTGGAGACTTTGCTTCAATAAGGCAGGAAGAGAAGATAGGCCTATCCATCTTCCTCATTAGTGAGTCTCCAGCAATTGAATCCTAAAATGAATAGAAACAAGGTTATTTAAGACTGATAGATATTGGTGGTGCTCTGTTAGGAGTTGTGAGCCTAGTCTTTATGGCTGATTTTCAACAATACGACCCTCCTTTATGGCTTGTAAAACTAAGCAAAGGTGTCTGCTGTTAATGGTGGCAAGTATAAATGATCCACAGCAGTCTTTTATTCACTCCTTTCCTCACCATCTGCTGGCATAAGCAGACTTTGCCAGATGTTATAGTTTCACTGCATCTCTCTGTCTCTCTCTCTCTCTCTCTCTTTCTCACACATACAGTTTGTTGGTTTATATAAGTATGTGAAGTTCAACATCCTCTCCCATTAACTACTTGCTATTCTTCCTTTGGACTTCCTCTTAAGACTTAGCCTTCACTGTCCTGTGATAATAGAATAGAAGCTAAGAATTACAGTGGAAGTCTTCCTTATTTACAGTGGAAGTCTAAAAGACACAATAATCTTCTAAGGCCCTTGACATATGACTTCAGATCTAGAAACCCTATCATACCACAATGCTCAATGGTCTTTAGGAGCTCCATGTGTCTTCTCCCTTCCTTTATTCATGTTCCTGTCTCATTCTATCACTTGCTTTTTTTCTTTCTTTCTGTTGGGCCATCCTGGGTGGGTAGTGAAGGACATTGGAATGAGAAACGGTATTCTCAGCAACTTCCTATGAAATCCAATACCAAGGTTTTGGATTGCATGTTTTGGCAGCTGAATGCTCATTTATCAGAATATTAAGAATAGAAAAAAATATTCAAAAATATGTTTAAAATTGTTGAAAATTATCTTTTTTCATTGTCAAGAAACTGGTGGAGAAAACCCCTTCATCTGCATAAAATTTGCATGTGTTTTCCTCCATCGAAAACACTATTTTCTTCTTAGTAAATAGTA